GTTTGACACTAGAAGGATGTTTTCACATTAATCTGCTGAAAGTTTTAGCAGATTGATACGATTTTAAGGGGCGGGCGTATGAGTATGATTTGTGACATCACAAATAATGTGATGTGGAAACTGAGAATGGACTTTACGGTGAAGTAGGAGACATCATGTGTCCAGCAGGAAAACCTCAGAAATAAACAACATTTGCATATTCAGAGATTCTATTATTTTTGACGAAGCAGAAGGAGTAGATGCTTTTATTAGGATCTCAGTGTGGAAATTATACTCTTTTGTGGAAAGAACATATCATACATAAACATGAACTATTCAGAGATAGGTAGAGACCAACTCATTTAATAACATGTACAAGGCACTGCCTTGTGTTTTCTCCATAAAAGAGGAGCCACAGAGGGCACTTTATTTTGTTTTTTTTCTAATATGGCTGGGGAAGGAGACAAAATAAAACATTGCTATTTTAGATCAGTTATGTCACAATATTCTGGGTATGACTGTTGGAGATTAATACTTAATCTAACTAGGGAATTGGTGATAAATTATTAGTGATGTGCTTGTAACTAATGACTCTGCCAGTAAAGTCGTTCACTCATCATTTAATCCAGCTTTAATAGTTAAATAAATTGAGAAAATTGTAACATTTAACTGTAACGGTACTCTGTGTTGTAACCCCCATTTTTGCTGGTTAGAAATATGTAGTGTCCAAACTCAAGCTTAGATAACCCTGATGACATCCCTATGACTCTGCACAGGGCCACAGAGGATTTCCCAACTGTTTTATTTAGTAATCTTCTTAAAAAGTGAACAGATCTTTATGTGTGTTTGTGGTTTATGTGTTATTATAGTGGTATGCCCTTTTGAGACTCATTTTAAGCTGTAACATGATATTGCACTGATACTCTGGGCTCCAGTTCCATGTGCTGATACTTGCAGCTCTTCTTTCTGTGCTGGTGTAAAGCTGCTTTATGCTGGCGCTGTGCCTTTTTTCCTGCGGGATAGTGAGGTTTTGTGCTCTCCTGCATCTGTTTTGGTGACTCACTGTGCACCACAGTAGGTGGAGTGACACCTTAATTGTAAAGATTTTAATGATACTCTCATACCTGTAGAGGCGCCTCCCACTAACTTGTCCTTTTTCTTCTGCTTTTTTTGTCTCGGTGTCTGTCTGCAGAGCACAGTGGACAAGCTGATCAAGAAGACAAACCTGGCTCTGGTGGTGGGGAGCAGCAGCTGGAGAGAGCAGTTTGTTAGTGCTGTCACTGTCAGTGCAGGTGAGTCGTGGCATCCTGACTTGTCTCATCTGTTCATCTATCAGTGACCCGACCTGTGGAAGATTGAGCCTGCAGCCGGATCTGGTCCACCAGCTGCTTCTCATCAGTCGTGCTGTGTGTGTTTTTTTTTTTAGATACTTCTTTAATAAAATCCCAAATGTTTCAGTTTGGTTTGACATTGGCAGATGATAATGAATGAAAGAGCTCACAGAAACATGGGCCGTTTTAATATATTTGGGCTATTCTGTGCTTATTTGCTGCTTCCTTTGAATCTAGACAGTTTACTAAAAATGCTTGATGTGGTGAATTCCTCATGTGGCTCACTGTAAAAACTAAATTGGCCGGCTCTGCCTGGACAATTAATAGCTCTGAAGAATGTATTTAGTCGTACGTGGTATGGTGAACCCTTTTTATTTTGCCCTTTCAAAAGCTGTTCACTTGGCTTTGTGAACCTTTTAGATCTCCACTAGTGCACAAAGCATTTGGGCTAAAAGCTGACTTAGACACCAGAGATGTGTCATTTTGCTAATACGCTCTTTTCTCTCATGTTTTCTCTCTGGATGAGGTCACTCCGATTTTTATGCAGAGAGTGTACGTATAAATAGAAAGCATGTATATGTGTCTAAGTCACTGAGTCATAGTTTTATTTGCAGATAATGTAAAGATTTGAAAAGGTTAGCTCCCACACATTCGTCAGATGGCTTAAATGTGGTGTAGTATATATATATATATATGTATA